TGAAATTGACAAAAAATACTTCTGCTTTAACTAGTAACTGTAGCAAATCCTCAAAAGTTTCTTGCATTAACTGCTCTCAGGGACAGCTAATCGAAGAAATGGTTCCGCCTCAAAATGACAGCCAAAGAGTCTGTGAGAAGAAACAAAACAATTCCTCTGATTGCAAAGGAAACTCCAACATTATGTCGTCTGATTCAATCACGTGTTCAAGTTGTGTGGAAATTGGTTTATCCAACAGCTGCAAACCCAACAGTCAGAGTTCTGTCACGTGTCATCCTTTCTGCCCAGAAGCTTGTAACTGCTCTGGGGAAAGCTACATTTGTGTGAGAGATCGTTGCCCAGCGTATACAGAAAAACTCGTATTACAAAACGTTCGTTGTGGGACTCTGGAATTGGATGATTACCACGGAGAAAGATACTTCTTACAAAGCAGGCACATATTCAAGCTTGAAATATGTAATTCTTTTATAACAGAGCTGAAAGTTTATCAATACGACCGTTTATCTCTACACAAAATCTTTATTATGCATAGCACCGTTGACAAAATATATGTAGATTCTTTGGGTAATCGAATTGTTTATGAAGCATTACATTCTCTTCAAGTATTTAACTCATCGGTATCAGACCTTGAATTCGAGGACTCTGGAATGGTAACATCAATGAATGCTACATATTATATTCGAAATGTTAAATTTTATTATAAACCAGAAATCTATGATATTTCTGGTAACTCATTTGAAGACTTTGAACGCTCTTATTTTAACGTGCGAGATATGTTGAATGCAAGCTACAACGCGTTCACAAAAATGCCTAAGATTTCTGGTTGTAGAATTGTAGACGTCAGCTTTAACAGGCTCACAAGCTACGAACATTCTGCGGCTGGTACACATGTTTTATTCTTGAACAACAACAATCTCAAGTCTGTCAGAAGGACAAATTACGACCCAAAAGTCGGAACCAGCTTGAGAATACTTGATATCTCGTACAATGACATTACGGTTGTCAATGCTGGAGACCTTCTCGCCGCTAATTTGATATTTCTGAATTTGTCAAACAACATTATTCATTCAATACACATTGAAGCATTTGTTGGTACACCTCGGCTCACCTTTCTTGATTTGTCACATAACAACATCTCAGCAATCACTGCTGGAACCTTCCTTCCACTAAAGAATTTGGAAGAGCTATATTTGCAAGAAAACTCCTTTCAGGTCACTCTTGGCATGTTTATAGGTCTTTCTAGTCTACGATGGATGGAGGTTAGTCATTTTACGATATGCTGCGCTAAACCCAACAGCAGATATGATGTTCAATGTATAGCTCCGGTGAATGCCATTTCCTCTTGTAAGAACCTGATAGCAGTACCTGTCCTCAGTGTTTCAATATGGTACATTGCTTTAATAGCGGCTTTTGGAAACATCGCTGTTCTAATATTTAACGTTGAAAAATCTAAGGGCAAAAAAGAGGAAGCGTATTACATCCTGGCAATTAATTTAGCCTGTGGTGACTTTTTGATGGGTGTGTATCTCTTTATCATCGCTTTTATAAATCTGCATTATACGGGACAGTATGGGATGAACGAGTACGTTTGGAGACATAGCTATATTTGTACCCTAGCAGGAATCATGGCCACTTTGTCCAGCGAAGTATCTGCTTTCGTTCTTTTGTTCATCACCCTCGATAGACTTATTATAGTCAAGTATCCATTTTCAGATGCTAAACTTACAAAGAAGAAAGCGTATTTGCTTATGCCTACTGTATGGATGTTGTCTTCCTTCTTATCTTTATTCCCTTTAATTCCGAACACCGGTCTTGAGAACTTCTACGCACAGTCTGGAATATGTGTTTTACTACCTTTGTCTGTTGTTAGAAGGTCTGGATGGGAATACTCAATGATTGTGTTCGTGGGTATCAATTTTCTTCTTTTTTGGGGCATTCTTGTTGGACAGATTTCAATATTCGTAGAAGTTATCTGTGTTGGGCGGAACGTGAGATCGACCAAGACAAGGCAGAGGGAAGCTTCTCTGGCTATGACGCTGTTTGTCATCGTTATTACCGACGTCTTCTGTTGGATACCTATAGGAATATTAGGTAAAATTTAATGATCATTTTCCTTTAAAATATACTTCTGTAAGAATATGTTAAAGAAATCATTAAAAGTGATCTAACCGAAACATTTTAGCCTGTATGCTAAGTTTACCCAGAAATTTCTTTTTTCTTAATCAGAAAATCTTTTTATTGTAAGCATAATCTGGCTATATTTCTTATTTACAGGAATGCTGACCTTTTGGGGAATTGAGGTTTCGCCTGAAGTATATGGCTGGATTGTTGTAGTAGTTCTGCCTATCAATTCCGCCATTAATCCAATCCTCTACACCCTGGCTTCTGCCATCAGGAAAAAGGTCAGATGCTAAAATTACATTTACATGTATAAATATCATTCATAGTTAATTTAAACCTGTTGTTACTGTGTTTAGTTTTCATATATCCAGTACCTTTCTATTTTTCCCAAGTATACGTTCATCAACACTTGTCACAAAGTTAAGAGGAAAGCATATTCACATTAATTCAAATAAAAGGCCTGGTATAAATGTGATTGCTATAACAACGATAAATTTTTTCCTCAGCAAAATGTTCTCACTCGTTGACATGTCGTATTTATAAACCAGTTTACAGTCGTCATTATTTTTAATGAGTCTATTTAAGGTAGAACCTATGTCGGAAAAGTCTTTGTCACAAGATTTTCAAAATGATTAGTTAGTAGTTTTTTATCAATCAGTTAAAAGCTCATGACCTGTTTCCTTATTTTTATTGACCTAGTAAAATGAAAGGTGCCTACAGGTTTCTCTTATTCAAGAATTATATTGTCATTAAGCTTTATAGCCAACAAATATATATATTGAATTAGCATTATTTATTATTTATATTTATATATTTTAAATTCAATTCTGTGATGTCAAAATCCTTTATTTTCTACAATTTTTATTAAAGCTGTAAAGTACGGGAAAAGGTGATATTGAATTAATTATGACGTCATAATTGATCTAGCACAGGCTAAACACAATCACTAGTTATGATGTCATACGACTTAGGGTTTACGTTAAGTGGGACTATTTGCCAGGGTCTGTCTATGCTTGAATGACAATCGCACATAGAACTTGTCCTTATATTTTTAATCAAATCTTAGACTAAAGTTTATCATAGGTAAGAGACTTGTTGATAGAAAATATCGTTTGATGTCGATTCTCCTTTCTAAGACTAAAACTATGATTATAGCAAAGAGAGAGAGAGAATATTCAAAGAATTACAAAGGCATCATGCACTCATTGTCAGATTAGTTTACAGACATGAGTATTTTGATATGCATAAAAAAGTACTAAATATTTATGGATAAGTTTTATAAGGATGAATTAAATCTTACCATTAATTTATGTTTTCAGAGAATGGAAAATTGGGAAAATAGTTCCGAGCTGAAAAAACAACTTTGTACGCTTAAGGTATTAATTTCTGTGAACTCATTAGTCTTTCCTGATCACTTTTCTGGAAAACCTACATGTAGTTGTCCAATCTGATTAAAATCAGATCCTTTGATCCGCTCACATAGATAGCTACACAAGGATCTGAAGAAACCCCATTCAGGGTCATCTCCTGGTGACCTTTGAATTATCCAATCAAATGTTCACTTTTGAAAATTCGAAAATATCTCGGAATTCAGTTACAGAGTGGAAAGGTCCGATGATACACGAATGGAAAAATCGTGACCTAGTTTCTGTAGTCTGTCAAGAGAAGGACCACAGTTTTTTCTGTATAGTAATATAATAAGTACTTGCTTTTTGTCTTGTTTTTCAGCTCTTTGTTTTGTACGAAACGATAAGATCTTCTCCGCAGCTACTTTCACTTTTATATTCGTTTTCTTCGAATGTCGCTTAAGTACGATCACTCTGATTGGTCAAAATTGCCGAGAATATTTTTATGAGAAAGGTCACCAGGAGATGACACTGAATGGGGTTTCTTCAGATCATTGTGTAGCGATCTATGTGAGCGGATCAAAGGATCTGATTTAAATCAGATTGGTAATTGTCAGACACATTCCTATGAAATTGAAAGGTGTTCATTCGGTATTTTTTATTTCATTTTTGTACATTCTTGGACAATTGTTCTATTATTACACGTGTGCAGTAAATATATTTGGATTTTGCTCATATACTATATCATAATCTGTTATATTGCTTTGGCATTATCATTATATTATCTGAAATTGTTCTCAACAACGTTGATATTAATGTTTAAAAATACTTTTATGTGTTTAAAATTTTTCTATCAATCTAGCTCAGGCTGGAAAACACCAGAGACAGAACCATCAGCACCGTGTCTGACAAACTGTCTGATAACCCAGACCTTCATGACTGTCCTACATTAAGAATCAGGGATGTAAAAGAACAGATGGGGACCGAGGACAGCAAGGAGGCTCAGAATGAAGACAGTTCTATGTAGAGGAGAGTGAAAGCATATGTTGCAGGCTTAGTGAAAGCTTTGGTCTTCTACTTGTACACAATGCGCACAGACTTAGCATATACTGTAGTCGATCTGAAAACTTTCTTCTATGAAATGGAAATGTCATTTGTTTGCCAGAAGCCATGCATATATCGGTTCTTTAAAAACAATAAAACAGTCTTAGATATTCTCACACATCGTTACACCAGAGTACAGATGTTTTTTTATAAAACATTTTACTATTTTCAATAGCATGTTGCTTGTAAGCAATTGCCTTTTTTGTAATATTGTAATTGTGCACAAGATTTTTCATAATTGCTCCCTTATCTTAATTTATCAATGGATATTGAATGTCTTAGTTCCAACAGCAGCGAATCGTTTACATTAAATGGACCCGGATACAGCAATACATCCCAGTGTGTTCTTGTAGATTGTAAACAGTGCTTAGAAATGTCTGCTGATTGTGCCAGTTTACTTTCTATATCTAAGAATGATTCAATGTTGAAATGGACAAAAATACTTCTGCTTTAACTAGTAACTGTAGCAAGTCCTCAAAAATTTCTTACATTAACTGCACTCAGGGACAGCTAGTCGAAGAAATGGTTCCGCCTCAAAATGATAGCCAAAGAGTCTGTGAGAAGAAACAAAACAATTCCTCTGATTGCAAAGGAAACTCCAACATTATGTCGTCTGATTCAATCACGTGTTCAAGTTGTGTGGAAATTGGTTTATCCAACAGCTGCAAACCCAACAGTCAGAGTTCTGTCACGTGTCATCCTTTCTGCCCAGAAGCTTGTAACTGTTCTGGGAAAAGCTACATTTGTGTGAGAGACCATTGCCCAGCGTATACAGAAAAACTCGTATTACAAAACGTTCGTTGTGGGACTCTGGAATTGGATGATTACCACGGAGAAAGATACTTCTTACAAAGCAGGCACATATTCAAGCTTGAAATATGTAATTCTTTTATAACAGAGCTGAAAGTTTATCAATACGACCGTTTATCTCTACACAAAATCATTATTATGCATAGCACCGTTGACAAAATATATGTAGATTCTTTGGGTAATCGAATTGTTTATGAAGCATTACATTCTCTGCACGTATTTAACTCATCGGTATCAGACCTTGAATTCGAGGACTCTAGAATGGTAACATCAATGAATGCTACATATTATATTCGAAATGTTAAATTTAATTATAAACCAGAAATCTATGATATTTCTGGTAACTCATTTGAAGACTTTGAACGCTCTTATTTTAACGTGCGAGATATGTTGAATGCAAGCTACAACGCGTTCACAAAAATGCCTAAGATTTCTGGTTGTAGAATTGTAGACGTCAGCTTTAACAGGCTCACAAGCTACGAACATTCTGCGGCTGGTACACATGTTTTATTCCTGAACAACAACAATCTCAAGTCTGTCAGAAGAGCAAATTACGACCCAAAAGTCGGAACCAGCTTGAGAATTCTTGATATCTCGTACAATGACGTTACGGTTGTCAATGCTGGAGAGCTTCTCGCCGCTAATTTGATATTTCTGAATTTGTCAAACAACATTATTCACTCAATACACTTTGAAGCATTTGTTGGTACACCTCAGCTCACCTCTCTTGATTTGTCACATAACAACATCTCAGCAATCACTGCTGGAACCTTCCTTCCACTAAAGAATTTGGAAGAGCTATATTTGCAAGAAAACTCCTTTCAGGTCACTCTTGGCATGTTTATAGGTCTTTCTAGTCTACGATGGATGGAGGTTAGTCATTTTACGATATGCTGCGCTAAACCCAACAGCAGATATGATGTTCAATGTATAGCTCCGGTGAATGCGATTTCCTCTTGTAAGAACCTGATAGCAGTACTTGTCCTCAATGTTTCAATATGGTACATTGCTTTAATAGCGGCTTTTGGAAACATCGCTGTTCTAATATTTAACGTTGAAAAATCTAAAGGCAAAAAAGAGGAAGCGTATTACATCCTGGCATTTAATTCAGCCTGTGCTGACTTTTTGATGGGTGTGTATCTCTTTATCATCGCTTTTATAAATCTGCATTATACTGGACAGTATGGGATGAACGACTACGTTTGGAGAAATAGCTATATGTGTACCCTAGCAGGAATAATGGCCACTTTGTCAAGCGAGGTATCTGCTTTCATTCTTTTGTTCTTCACCCTCGATAGACTTATTATTGTCAAGTATCCATTTTCAGATGCTAGACTTACAAAGAGGAAAGCGTATTTGCTTATGCCTACTGTATGGATGTTGTCTTCCTTCTTATCTTTATTCCCTTTAATTCCGAACACCGGTCTTGAGAACTTCTACGCACAGTCTGGAATATGTGTTTCACTACCTTTGTCTGTTGATAGAAGGCCTGGATGGGAATACTCAATGATTGAGTTCGTGGGTATCAATTTTCTTCTTTTCCTTGGCATTCTTGTTGGACAGATATTCGTAGAAGTTATCTGTGTTGGGCGGAACGTGAGATCGACCAAGACAAGGCAGAGGGAAGCTTCGCTGGCTATGACGCTGTTTGTCATCGTTATTACCGACGTCTTCTGTTGGATACCTATAGGGATATTAAGTAAAATTTAATGATCCTTTTCTTTTTAAATATACTTCTGTAAGAATATGTTAAAGAAATCATTAAAAGTGACATTCTAGCCTGTATACTAAGTTTACCCAGAAATTTCATTTTTCTTAATCAGAAAATCTTTTCATTGTACGCATAATCTGGCTATATTTCTTATTTACAGGAATGCTGACCTTTTGGGAAATTGAGGTTTCGCCTGAAGTGTATGGCTGGATGGTTGTAGTAGTTATGCCTATCAATTCTGCCATTAATCCAATTCTCTACACCCTGTCTTCTGTCATCAGGAAAAAGGTCAGATGCTAAAACTACATGTACATGTATAAGTATCAAGTTCATTTAAACCTTTTGTGACTGTGTTTAGTTTTCATATATCCATTACCTTTCCGTTTTTCCCAAGTATACGTTCATCAACCCTTGTCACAAAGTTTCTAAGAGGGAAGCATATTCACATTTATTCAAATAAAAGGCCTTGTATAAATGTGATTGCTTTAACACCGATAAATTTTTTCTTCTGCAAAATGTTCTCACTCGTTGACGTGTCGTATTTAGAAACCAGTTTACAGTCGTCATTATTTTTACTGAGTCTATTTAAGGTAGAACCTATGTCGGAGTAGTGTTTGTCACAAGATTTTCAAAATGATTAGTTAGTAGTTTCTTATCAATCAGTTAAAAGCTCATGATCTGTTTCCTTATTTTTAAATGTAGTACAGCCCTCTGAAACTTGGAATGGTTATTAAATACTGCGACTACATATTTTCAGTTTTTAGAGGCACTTTTCAAGAAGAGAATATTAAAAATTGCAAAAATACTTCTTCTTCAACCATAGTCGTTCATAGACTTTATTAACTGAACGGTATTAAGCAACATTTCTTAGGAATAATTTCTATGCAAACAAACTCTATTTTTTGTCAACTTTCCACCCAACATTTGCAAATATTTTTCAGAAGTAGTTGTCACAATATTTTCAATCTTTTATATGATGAAGAACATACCCAAATGATTACAAGAAGTGATTAAAATATATACCTTTTGCAGCCAACTAATGAGGAATAGGTTATTTAGAGATACTTATCTTTTTGACCTTTTTAAACTAACACGGGATTAAATTATTAAATGATTGTTTGTGGCTACTTTCAGATTAAAAATCTTATCGTTTATCAAAAACTGTACTGTTTTATTTGAAAAGATCATATTTGATGGAGAAATTGTAATCAAACAGTTACCATTAAAAATATACATAAATAAGTGACAATCTACAACACATACCTCTTTGACTTAGACACATTTCATCAAGATGTTTTAATATTTATTTGGCAACTGACGATTTTTTTAGGATTTTTGCATTCCTTCAAAATAGTTACATATGATTCACATTATCACAATGCGTTACAGGTACATTGTAATTTCATTACAGGAGATAGTATTGGATTTGTCAACTTAATAAATGTCAATCTATTGACCTAGTAAAATGAAAGGTGCCTACAGGTTTCTCTTATTCAAGAATTATATTGTCATTAAGCTTTATAGCCAACAAATATATATATTGAATTAGCATTGTTTATTATTTATATTTATATATTTTAAATTCAATTCTGTGATGTCAAAATGCTTTATTTTCTACAATTTTTATTAAAGCTGTAAAGTACGGGAAAAGGTGATATTGAATTAATTATGACGTCATAATTGATCTAGCACAGGCTAAACACAATCACTAGTTATGATGCCATACGACTTAAGGTTTACGTTAAGTGGGACTATTTGCCAGGGTCTGTCTATGCTTGAATGACAATCGCACATAGAACTTGTCCTTATATTTTTAATCAAATCTTAGACTAAAGTTTATCATAGGTAAGAGACTTGTTGATAGAAAATATCGTTTGATGTTGATTCTCCTTTCTAAGACTAAAACTATGATTATAGCAAAGAGAGAGAGAATATTTGAAGAATTACAAAGGCATCATGCACTTATTGTCAGATTAGTTTACAGACATGAGTATTTTAATATGCATAAAAAAGTACTAAATATTTATGGATAAGTTTTATAAGGATGAATTAAATCTTACCATTAATTTATGTTTTCAGAGAATGGAAAATTGGGAAAATAGTTCCGAGCTGAAAAAACAACTTTGTACGCTTAAGGTATTGATTTCTGTGAACTCATTAGTCTTTCCTGATCACTTTTCTGGAAAACCTACATGTAGTTGTCCAATCTGATTAAAATCAGATCCTTTGATCCGCTCACATAGATAGCTACACAAGGATCTGAAGAAACCCCATTCAGGGTCATCTCCTGGTGACCTTTGAATTATCCAATCAAATGTTCACTTTTGAAAATTCGAAAATATCTCGGAATTCAGTTACAGAGTGGAAAGGTCCGATGATACACGAATGGAAAAATCGTGACCTAGTTTCTGTAGTCTGTCAAGAGAAGGACCACAGTTTTTTCTGTATAGTAATATAATAAGTACTTGCTTTTTGTCTTGTTTTTCAGCTCTTTGTTTTGTACGAAACGATAAGATCTTCTCCGCAGCTACTTTCACTTTTATATTCGTTTTCTTCGAATGTCGCTTAAGTACGATCACTCTGATTGGTCAAAATTGCCGAGAATATTTTTATGAGAAAGGTCACCAGGAGATGACACTGAATGGGGTTTCTTCAGATCATTGTGTAGCGATCTATGTGAGCGGATCAAAGGATCTGATTTAAATCAGATTGGTAATTGTCAGACACATTCCTATGAAATTGAAAGGTGTTCATTCGGTATTTTTTATTTCATTTTTGTACATTCTTGGACAATTGTTCTATTATTACACGTGTGCAGTAAATATATTTGGATTTTGCTCATATACTATATCATAACCTGTTATATTGCTTTGGCATTATCATTATATTATCTGAAATTGTTCTCAACAACGTTGATATTAATGTTTAAAAATACTTTTATGTGTTTAAAATTTTTCTATCAATCTAGCTCAGGCTGGAAAACACCAGAGACAGAACCATCAGCACCGTGTCTGACAAACTGTCTGATAACCCAGACCTTCATGACTGTCCTACATTAAGAATCAGGGATGTAAAAGAACAGATGGGGACCGAGGACAGCAAGGAGGCTCAGAATGAAGACAGTTCTATGTAGAGGAGAGTGAAAGCATATGTTGCAGGCTTAGTGAAAGCTTTGGTCTTCTACTTGTACACAATGCGCACAGACTTAGCATATACTGTAGTCGATCTGAAAACTTTCTTCTATGAAATGGAAATGTCATTTGTTTGCCAGAAGCCATGCATATATCGGTTCTTTAAAAACAGTAAAACAGTCTTAGATATTCTCACACATCGTTACACCAGAGTACAGATGTTTTTTTATAAAACATTTTACTATTTTCAATAGCATGTTGCTTGTAAGCAATTGCCTTTTTTGTAATATTGTAATTGTGCACAAGATTTTTCATAATTGCTCCCTTATCTTAATTTATCAATGGATATTGAATGTCTTAGTTCCAACAGCAGCGAATCGTTTACATTAAATGGACCCGGATACAGCAATACATCCCAGTGTGTTCTTGTAGATTGTAAACAGTGCTTAGAAATGTCTGCTGATTGTGCCAGTTTACTTTCTATATCTAAGAATGATTCAATGTTGAAATGGACAAAAATACTTCTGCTTTAACTAGTAACTGTAGCAAGTCCTCAAAAATTTCTTACATTAACTGCACTCAGGGACAGCTAGTCGAAGAAATGGTTCCGCCTCAAAATGATAGCCAAAGAGTCTGTGAGAAGAAACAAAACAATTCCTCTGATTGCAAAGGAAACTCCAACATTATGTCGTCTGATTCAATCACGTGTTCAAGTTGTGTGGAAATTGGTTTATCCAACAGCTGCAAACCCAACAGTCAGAGTTCTGTCACGTGTCATCCTTTCTGCCCAGAAGCTTGTAACTGTTCTGGGAAAAGCTACATTTGTGTGAGAGACCATTGCCCAGCGTATACAGAAAAACTCGTATTACAAAACGTTCGTTGTGGGACTCTGGAATTGGATGATTACCACGGAGAAAGATACTTCTTACAAAGCAGGCACATATTCAAGCTTGAAATATGTAATTCTTTTATAACAGAGCTGAAAGTTTATCAATACGACCGTTTATCTCTACACAAAATCATTATTATGCATAGCACCGTTGACAAAATATATGTAGATTCTTTGGGTAATAGAATTGTTTATGAAGCATTACATTCTCTGCACGTATTTAACTCATCGGTATCAGACCTTGAATTCGAGGACTCTAGAATGGTAACATCAATGAATGCTACATATTATATTCGAAATGTTAAATTTAATTATAAACAAGAAATCTATGATATTTCTGGTAACTCATTTGAAGACTTTGAACGCTCTTATTTTAACGTGCGAGATATGTTGAATGCAAGCTACAACGCGTTCACAAAAATGCCTAAGATTTCTGGTTGTAGAATTGTAGACGTCAGCTTTAACAGGCTCACAAGCTACGAACATTCTGCGGCTGGTACACATGTTTTATTCCTGAACAACAACAATCTCAAGTCTGTCAGAAGAGCAAATTACGACCAAAAAGTCGGAACCAGCTTGAGAATTCTTGATATCTCGTACAATGACGTTACGGTTGTCAATGCTGGAGAGCTTCTCGCCGCTAATTTGATATTTCTGAATTTGTCAAACAACATTATTCACTCAATACACTTTGAAGCATTTGTTGGTACACCTCGGCTCACCTCTCTTGATTTGTCACATAACAACATCTCAGCAATCGCTGCTGGAACTTTCCTTCCACTAAAGAATTTGGAAGAGCTATATTTTCAAGAAAACTCCTTTCAGGTCACTCTTGGCATGTTTATAGGTCTTTCTAGTCTACGATGGATGGAGGTTAGTCATTTTACGATATGCTGCGCTAAACCCAACAGCAGATATGATGTTCAATGTATAGCTCCGGTGAATGCGATTTCCTCTTGTAAGAACCTGATAGCAGTACTTGTCCTCAATGTTTCAATATGGTACATTGCTTTAATAGCGGCTTTTGGAAACATCGCTGTTCTAATATTTAACGTTGAAAAATCTAAAGGCAAAAAAGAGGAAGCGTATTACATCCTGGCATTTAATTCAGCCTGTGCTGACTTTTTGATGGGTGTGTATCTCTTTATCATCGCTTTTATAAATCTGCATTATACTGGACAGTATGGGATGAACGACTACGTATGGAGAAATAGCTATATGTGTACCCTAGCAGGAATAATGGCCACTTTGTCAAGCGAGGTATCTGCTTTCATTCTTTTGTTCTTCACCCTCGATAGACTTATTATTGTCAAGTATCCATTTTCAGATGCTAGACTTACAAAGAGGAAAGCGTATTTGCTTATGCCTACTGTATGGATGTTGTCTTCCTTCTTATCTTTATTCCCTTTAATTCCGAACACCGGTCTTGAGAACTTCTACGCACAGTCTGGAATATGTGTTTTACTACCTTTGTCTGTTGTTAGAAGGCCTGGATGGGAATACTCAATGATTGTGTTCGTGGGTATCAATTTTCTTCTTTTCCTAAGCATTCTTGTTGGACAGATTTCAATATTCGTAAAAGTTATCTGTGTTGGGCGGAACGTGAGATCGACCAAGACAAGGCAGAGGGAAGCTTCACTGGCTATGACGCTGTTTGTCATCGTTATTACCGACGTCTTCTGTTGGATACCTATAGGGATATTAGGTAAAATTTAATGATCCTTTTCTTTTTAAATATACTTCTGTAAGAATATGTTAAAGAAATCATTAAAAGTGATCTAAGCGAAACATTCTAGCCTGTATGCTAAGTTTACCCAGAAATTTCATTTTTTCTTAATCAGAAAATCTTTTCATTGTACGCATAAATTGGCTATATTTCTTATTTACAGGAATGCTGACCTTTTGGGGAATTGAGGTTTCGCCTGAAGTGTATGGCTGGATGGTTGTAGTAGTTATGCCTATCAATTCCGCCATTAATCCAATTCTCTACACCCTGTCTTCTGTCATCAGGAAAAAGGTCAGATGCTAAAACTACATGTATATGTATAAGTATCAAGTTCATTTAAACCTTTTGTGACTGTGTTTAGTTTTCATATATCCAGTACTTTCCATTTTTCCCAAGTATACGTTCATCAACCCTTGTCACAAAGTTTCTAAGAGGGAAGCATATTCACATTAATTCAAATAAAAGGCCTGGTATTAATGTGATCGCTATAACACCGATAATTTTTTTCTTCTGCAAAATGTTCTCACTCGTTGACGTGTCGTATTTAGAAACCAGTTTACAGTCGTCATTATTTTTAATGAGTCTATTTAAGGTAGAACATATGTCGGAAAAGTCTTTGTCACAAGATTTTCAAAATGATTAGTTAGTAGTTTCTTATCAATCAGTTAAAAGCTCATGACCTGTTTCCTTATTTTTAAATGTAGTACAGCCTCTGAAACTTGGAATGGTAATTAAATACTGCCACTACATATTTTCAGTTTTTTTAGTGGTACTTTTCAAGAAGAGAATATGAAAAATTACAAAAATACTTCTTCAACCATAGTCGTTTATAGACTTTATTAACTGAACGGTATTAAGCAATATTTCTCAGGAATAATTTCTTTTTTATTCAATTCACATAAAAGATTAGTCCACATTTTAAAGAAAATATGCAAAAGAACTCTTTTTAGCTCACCTGAGCCGAAGGCTCAAGTGAGCTTTTCTGATCACATTTTGTCCGTCGTCCGTCTGTCCGTCCGTCTGTCTGTCTGTCCGTCTGTCCGTCCGTCCGTCTGTAAACTTTTCACATTTTCGACTTCTTCTCAAGAACCACTTGGCCAATTTTGACCAAACTTGGTACAAAGCATCCTTGGGTGAAGGGGAATTTAAATTGTTAAAACGAAGGGACATATCCCCTCGCAAGGGGAGATAATCAAGGAAAGACAAAAATAGGGTTGGGTCATTAAAAAATCTTCTTCTCAAGAACCACTGGGCCAGAAAAGCTGAAACTAATGTGGAAGCATCCTGGGGTAGTGTAGATTCTAAATTGTTCAAATCATGACTCCAGGGGGTAGGGCGGGGCCACAATGGGGAATCAAAGTTTTACATAGAAATATATAGGGAAAATATTTGAAAATCTTCTTCTCAAGAACCATTGGGCCAGAAAAGCTGAAACTTATGTGGAGGCATCCTGGTATAATGTAGATTCTAAATTGTTCAAATCATGACCCCAGGGGGTAGGGCGGGGCCACAATGGGGAATCAATGTTTTACATAGAAATATATAGGAAAAATCTTTGAAAATCTTCTTCTCAAAAACCACTGGGTCAGAAAAGCTGAAACTTATGTGGAAGCATCCTGGTGTAGTGTAGATTCTAAATTGTTCAAATCATGACCCCAGGGGTAGGGCGGGGCCACAATGGGGAATCAATGTTTTACATAGAAATATATAGGGAAAATCTTTGAAAATCTTCTTCTCAAGAACCATTGGGCCAGAAAAGTTGAAACTTATGTGGAAGCATCCTGGTGTAGTGTAGATTCTAAATTGTTCAAATCATGACCCCAGGGGGAAGGGCGGGGCCACAATGGGGAATCAAAGTTTTACATAGAAATATATAGGTAAATTCTTTGAAAATCTTCTTCTCAAGAACCACTGGGCCAGAAAAGCTGAAACTTATGTGGAAGCATCCTGGTGTAATGTAGATTCTAAATTGTTCAAATCATGACCCCAGGGGGTAGGGCGGGGCCAGAATGGGGAATCAAAGTTTTACATAGAAATATATAGGGAAAATCTTTGAAAATCTTCTTCTCAAGAACCACTGGGCCAGAAAAGCTGAAACTTATGTGGAAGCATCCTGGGGTAGTGTAGATTCTTAATTGTTCAAATCATGACCCCAGGGGGTAGGGCGGGGCCACAATGGGGAATCACATAGAATCACATTTACATAGAAATATATAGGGAAAATCTTTGAAAATCTTCTTCTCAAGAACCATTGGGCCAGAAAAGCTGAAACTTATGTGGAAGCATCCTGGGGTAGTGTAGATTCTAAATTGTTCAAATCATGACCCCAGGGGGTAGGGCGGGGCCACAATGGGGAATCAATGTTTTACATAGAAATATATAGAAAA